CGTGAGGTGCGGAGCAGAGCCGCTCCTTTCTCCTGCGGTCACCTTCGAGCCCGTCCCTACAGTGAGTCCTGTTTTAGTCCTAGTTCAGTTCTGGTTTAGTCCTGGTTCAGCTCTGGTTTAGTCCTGGTTTAGTCCTGGTTCAGTCCATATACAGCGCAAAAGTTATTTTGGTGAGAGTAACTTAAAGTAATGCAATAGTAATGTAATGCCTTACATTTTAAATGCAGTAATATTGTAATGTAACGAATTACTTTGAAATGACAGTAATAAGTAATAAATAACGCATTACAGTTTCAAAGTAACTTGCCCAACAGTGATTATCGGTGACTCAATAATCAGGCACGTTCGTTATTTTAATGCCATTACGCACTGTTTCCCGGGAGCCACGGTGTCCCAGATTGTGAGCAGACTTCCTAACCTGCTCCAGTCCATGCCCTCTACAATTTATAGAATTATAGTTCATGTAGGGACAAATGACATGTCACGAGGGAAATTAGACAGCACAAAAAGGGATTTCGAGGATCTTTTCAATGTTTTAAAGCCATGGACTAGTCAAGGCATGTCTGTGTTTGTCTCTGGTCCCATTCCCACCTTGAATCGCGGTGCTGAGCGACTGGATAGGACCCTTCAGTTAAACAGCTGGCTCAGCTCTGTCTGCAGGTCCCACCTCATAAACTTCATTGACAACTTTAATCTGTTCTGGGACCGCCCCTCACACTACCGGGCAGACGGCTTACACCTAAATAGACCTGGAAACCGTCTGCTTAAAAACTATATAGTCTACGCTGTCCACAACCTGGTAAGCGTACCGCCTACGGTACCTGCACGTGAATGACTGTTTACTTCCCCCACACACCGCCCAGCTGCCTCTTCCTCAGACCGTTCAACGCGCTGCTGGTCTCAGACTAGCACCCCCTCCCTGTCTCCACGAGAACAGCACCATATTGAACATACTGGGTCACCACCACCTCCAACCCTGTCACCACCAGTGCCAGCTGGGTCACCAGGATCAGGTCCACTTGTACATGATATCCCAGTTCGTATAACTCGACCTATTCAAACTAAAAGACATACGAAAGCTAGATCTATTAGTCGGAATAATATTTTAATTACTCATGCTAACACAATGAACAAAATACCACTGACATGTAAAATGGGACTTTTAAATGTTAGATCTCTGGCCAATAAATCTTTTATAATTAATGATATGATTGTAGATGAGGCTCTAGACTGTATGTTTTTAACAGAGACATGGACAGGCACAGATGGAGCCGTAACCCTAAACGAAACCACACCTCCTAACTATAGTTATTCGTATTCATCTCGCCTCAATAAAAAAGGAGGTGGCACAGCCATAATCCTCTCTGCTAAACATAATTTCAAAAATATTCATTTCAATCAGTACCCTTCATTTGAGCATCACTCCCTGGCCTTAACAAATCCTTCCATCCTCCTTATTTGTATTTATCGCCCACCTAAACACTCCTCTTCTTTTACGGCAGATTTCTCAGACCTCCTGTCCATTGCTCACTCAAATTACAATAGAATTATAATTGTAGGGGATTTTAATTTACACATTGATGTTAAATCAGACTCACTAGCGACAGATTTTTTAAACCTTTTAAACTGTATGAATTTTAAACAAAATGTTTTACAGCCCACCCACAACAGAGGCCATATATTAGATTTAGTAATTTCATATGGAATATCAGTAGACATTGCCTCTGTTGTGGACGTGGGCTTTTCAGATCATGCCTGTATATTTTTTAATATAACTTTTGAGCAACCCCCCATATCAGAATGCATTGTCAGAAAGCGCTGTATTACTGCTGAAGTCACAACAAACTTTACAGAAATATTAGACAACACTCCAACTCCTTTTTTATCATCCTCATGTGATTTTACTGTAGAATATTTTAATAATAAATTAAAATCTGCCCTTGATGCTGTGGCACCTCTAAAACTCAAAACTGTGAAGACAAAAAAGTCTCCTTGGAAAAATGAAAAAACAAGACAACTGAAGCAAAATTGTAGAAAAGCAGAAAGAAAATGGCGCAAGAATAAAATTACAATAAACTATGAAATTTACCGTGAACAAGTGAGAAAATACAATAATGGTATGAAATGCGAAAGACAAGCATACCTCTCCCAACTTATAAATAATAACATAAAAAATCCCAGGATTCTATTCTCCACGATTAGTTCTGTTATCGACCCTGTTCGTAATTGGAAGGAGCCATCAAACATGCCAAACTGTGAGGATTTTGTGACTTACTTCAGCAATAAAATACAATCCATTAGAGCTGACCTGCAACAGATACAACCAAGTAACATCTGTATTATCAAACACACTTGATAGTTTTGCCCTGGTTGATGCTACGACTCTTAACAAAATAATTTTACAATTGAAACCAGCCACTTGTTTTTTAGATCCTATCCCTACATCACTTTTTAAATCAGTTTTTAATTTTTTAGCCCAAGAAGTCCTTAACATTGTAAATTTGTCGCTGCAGACAGGGGTTTTTCCAACACCAGTCAAAACTGCTATGGTCAAACCTCTGCTTAAAAAGGACAACTTGGACCCCTCCCTGCTCAGTAACTACAGACCTGTGTCCAATCTGCCGTTTTTAAGTAAAATTTTAGAGAAAATAGTTTTTAACCAAATTAATGATTTTATGATTGCCAACAATATCTTTGAAATTCATCAATCTGGTTTTAGAGTTCACCACAGCACAGAGACTGCACTAGTAAAAATCCTAGATGATATAAGATCCAATATGGACAAGAAGAATTTGTCAGTCCTGGTGCTGCTGGATCTCACGGCAGCATTTGACACTGTAGACCACTGTATTTTATTAGATAGATTACACTATACACTCGGCCTCTCTGGATCTGTTTTTAACTGGTTCAAATCTTTTTTAACAAACAGGGATTTTTATGTTAGTCTTGGGGAACACTCCTCCGCAAAATGTAAAATGGAGTGCGGTGTTCCCCAGGGCTCAATTTTAGGTCCAACCCTTTTTAATCTTTACATGCTGCCACTAGGACAGGTCATCAGGAGACACGGTGTTAACTTTCATAGCTACGCTGATGATACCCAGCTCTATATAGCCGTGTCTCCTGGTGACCTGAGCCCGATTGACACCCTTTTTAACTGCATTTTAGATATTAAGTCCTGGATGGCAGCAAACTTCCTCCAGCTCAACCAGGGCAAAACCGAGGTTTTAATTATTGGTCCTGAAGCTCAGAGAGAGAGGCTCAAAGCTAAGCTCCAAACCTACTCACTGAACCCCTGTGAGAGGGTCAAGAGTTTAGGAGTTACTCTTGATAGTGAGCTTAGCTTTGAGCCACACATCAGGTCCATCACTAAATCCGGTTTTTTATCATCTAAAAAATATTGCCAGAGTCAGACCATTTTCTCTCAAGCCAGTGCAGAGATTTTAATACATGCTTTTATTACAAATCGTGTTGATTACTGCAATGCTCTCCTTTCTGGTCTTCCAAAGAAATCTACAGCTCCATTGCAGCTCCTCCAAAACTCTGCAGCACGACTGCTGACAAGGACCAGGAAGCGAGAGCACATCACCCCAGTACTGAAGTCTCTGCACTGGCTTCCTGTGAGCTTCAGGATAGATTTTAAAGTTCTTTTATTAGTTTATAAAGCTCTTAATGGTCTTAGTCCTATTTATTTATCTGATCTGCTTTTATCATATGAGTCCTCTCGGACTCTCAGGTCCTCAGGTAGTCTTCTTTTAACTGTCCCAAGAGTCCAAACTAAAACTCACGGTGAGGCGTCATTCAGCTTTTATGGCCCCCGTTTGTGGAACAGTCTGCCTGAGGACCTGAGGTCCGCTGCGAGTGTTCATATTTTTAAAAGTAAGCTCAAAACCTATCTTTTTAATTTAGCTTTTAATTGAAACTTTTATCTGTCTTAACTTAAATTATTATTATTATTATTATTATTATTATTATTATTATTATTATTATTATTATTATTATTATTATTATTATAATTTATTTATTCTAAATTAAATTATCATTACTGTTTTACTTTGTCTCCATTTGATTTTAGCTCTCCATTTTGATTTTTATAATAACCTTTAGGAGTTTTATGTTTTTGTTTTTATGTTTATGTTTAAATGGTTGTATATATGGATGAAACGGGATGGGGTGGGGGGTTGCTCTTGATTTTAATTATTGTATTGTAATTTTTCTGTTGCATGTGAAGCACTTTGTGCTACATTTTAAATGTATGAAAAGTGCTATACAAATAAAGTTTGATTGATTGATTGATTGATGTTTCTGATGGGCAAACAATAATCCTGAATATTTAGGCTTCCCAGAAAACACTCTCTTCCACCTTGTGGTGTCATGTGGTAATACAGGAAGTGCTCTACTGTGTTTTTAAATTCCATACACCTTCACTATTATCATTTGGATAATTGCCAATTGAACTAAAGGTAAAAGATAGCTCTTAACTTAGGGCCAAACCTTGTTCTCAAAGCCTGATCTCATCAGAGGCTAAGCAGGGCAGGGCCTGGTTAGTCCTTGGATGGGAGACTACTGGAAATACCAGGTGCCACAGTGGGGCGACAGTGGTGTTGTTGTCTTTTTAGGTAAGGCACTTCACCCACATGACAAAGGGGCCAATGGGACAGATTTTTGATGAGGAAACAACATTATAATGAGCCTTCAAGCTTACAAAAATGATATTGTGTAATAGGGACTTTAAATAAATAATGTTCATTTAAGTATTTATTTGAAACGAGTCATGACTCCTTGTCTGTGAGCCACTGGTCAACTTTAACTAACATTGCTCAGATAACTGACAAAGTGACAATGCCACATGAAGAAAAGTTCAAATACCTTAAATGTGAGTGAACCCAGGTGTGATTTAAACTGGTTCATCAACATCTATGTATATTACAGTAAGAATTTTGCATCTCAGAACATTTGTGAAAAAGTCCAGACTCACTCTGTCTTTAAGGTGTGGTCTAAAACATCAGAAAGCAAAACCTGAGAGGATCCTTCTTTCACTACCTGCTAAAAGAAGACAGAACATGGTGAGTGAGAACAGCACACATATTTTTATTTCATCTTGTGTCTTATTTGTTGGATGTAAAAAAACAAGTTATGTTTAAAGGTGCACTATTCTATGTAACTCACCAAGTGGTGAGTGCTCAAATTGCTTGTTAACTTACAGATATTATTGCTTTGTATAGAATTTTCTGGCACTAAAACGATTAAATCTTCAGCTTATCTTACATATCTCCATGGAAACAAGCAGGTGACAAATGCGAAACTGTGAAAGTTAATACAATTTAATTAAGATTTAATTAAGTTAATGAAAGTTAATTGAGACAAGCAGGTGGTTAAATCCCCACTAAAGACTTTTTTTTACATACTGCACCCTTAATACAAAAATTGTTACAGGCAAAGATTATAGGCAAGTAGAACTGATTAAGGTGTATATTACTTTTATACTATTTAAAGAAAAGACATGTAAAAGTTTACTATAAAATTCCAATAATGTCTGGGCAGTGTGCAATCGGAATCGATTTGTGTTTTTTTTTAATCTAGCACTTATGTTGTCCCCCACAAAATGTCTTTTTTACCTTTAAAAATATAACTGTATCATAAAGTATGAAGTCATTACCAAAATCAACAGCAAAAGCAAAGTCCATGACTAGACTATGGCCATAATATGACATGTGTCATTACTAAAATAGCATTGTAATGATGTTACAGACTTCCATACTCATTGGTGGTGGAGCATTTGGAAAGGTCTACAAAGAGTGGTTCAATGGACAGTGGTGTGCAGTGAAGAAAGTTCCAGATGATCCCCGTAACATTACAGAAGACCTCCTTCGCAGGGAAGAGAATATCTACTGGTGGGAAATGCTGGCTAATGACACATCACCACAGAGATGGCATAACGTATCTGACTTTTTGTCTCATTCAAAACAGCACAGTCAATCACCCAAATGTAGTGAAGCTCGTGGGCAGGATATATAAGGAAGCAGGACGGTGGTGTTTCCCAATGGAGCTGATCGATGGACCAGATCTGAAGGATGTCATGTTCCATCCCATTCAGGTATGTCATGTGACCCACACACCAGGGTAGAGTATAGTATAGACCAGGATTTGTGAGTATGTACTAACATAGTTGTTTGTCCTCTCAGATCACTCTGCCTATCAAAAGCAAGATCATTACAGGAATGTGTGAAGGCCTGCTGTACCTACATAACAAAGGTATTGCACACCGAGATTTGAAGCCAGATAACATCAAAGTAAGTATGTCACTACACACTGCCAATATTTAAAAGGAACTATAAGTAAGATTTTACTGAAAGTGTCCTCAGATATAAGTTAGACACGTTCAAATGCTGACATATTCTTACAGAAATGTTGGACATGATGTCCATATTGTTTAGTTATAATTGTGTTTTCGTTCCTATAAGATGACTATCCAACCAGAAAGCAGAATGAGCCTCACGAGTCTTTCATTTGGGTTGCCACTTTCAATGCTGAAATCTAGTTGGTTTAAACCAAAAAGTTTAAACCTAAACCTGATCTGAATGGTCACTACCTAAACCCCTAAACCCCCCTGCAGTTATGAATCTGTGCTAGTGTAGCCTCTGCAGCTCAGTGAGGGAATTCTGGAGGTTCTGAGCTTTCACATGATGCACGTGACATGTTAATTTACATAGAATCAGAAAAACTGAACTGTAAGAGTGAAGGTTACATATAGTTCTGTTAATGTGTTGACAAGTTGACCAAAATAAAATTGTCTGGTGTAGTTTAGGATTTGACATTTTCCTTTTTTCTCTCCCTTTCAGGTTGAAAATTATACTTTTCGTACTGTTATCATTGATTTGGGATTAGCAAAATTTCAGAATGACTTCTATTCCGGAAATAATATGGGGAATCTTGCTTATGCTGCTCCTGAGATCATCCACCAACCATATACCAAGCGTAACCGGAAATCAGATGTGTGGGCCATGGGGAAAATTATCGGCGAACTTCTGGTTGGATATCAGATCGTTCATAATAACCCTGCTCACTACCAGGTCCTTCTACAAGAATACCCTGGGTACTGTGAAGTGGTCAGTGAGATGATAGATGGCAGTCCAACACCACGAGCAACAATGGACCAAGTCATTGATCGGATAAGAAGAGCAGAGGGACAGATAGGAGGTTCTGAGCCATTAGTTCGGGTTCTTAGGCCACTACAGTCCCCTCTCCAGCCTCACCATCAGCCTGGACCTGCTGGTGTTCAAACTATGGAGCCTTTTAGGGAGCTACATTTGGAACTACCTCCAAATTTCACTTTACCAAACCCACTTCCCCCTAACCACACCATCACACTCAACTATATTACAAGCACTGGAGGAGGGTTAATACAGATAAAAGGGGAAGTTCAGACCAAACATGGAAGGATACATCATGTTTGGTGGATGAAAAGTGTCCCAAACGCCTTAGAAATGAACAGCTCACCCCGGTTTTTGAAATGAATCCTTTTCAGGAGCTACTGTGCGATTCATTGCCAACATTCTGCTCTGTCGGAGACTTTGTTTGGCTTTAATCTGAGCTTTATTTTAACACAATCTGATGAAAAATATGGTTTAGTTGGAATTGCATCATGTGAGCTGATTTGTGTGCTCAAACAAGTCTCTTACACATCAAATTAGTCAGCTTTTCTGTTATTTACCCTTGACTTTCTGTTGAAAATCAAACACCATGAAAGCTTGTATTAATCACAGGCTCCAAAAAAAAGTGCCCATTTTGTATTTTTTCTATATTTTCTGTATTTGCTAATATGTGCATTGTGTTTCCATGGTGACATTAGAAACATTCCAGCATAAAGATCAACGGGATGTTCATTTGTAGTTTTTGCAAGTTAGTAGTGCTCATCCTCTGATCCAAAGGTTGCTGGTTTGAATGCTCCTGAAATAAACAACAACAAAAAAGTCTGTTCTTTAAGGTCTGAGTGTGTTAAAATAAGATCAGATTAAAGTCTAGCAGAGATGCAGACAGAGCAGAGCCTCCAGGTAGCATCACACCCACAGGGAATATTAATTAATCAGCTGCAAAGTTTGTAATTTGCAATTTGTAATTATTTCTTTACAATTGTCTGCGTAATCTCATATACGATTATGACACAACATAACGTAATGTACTTAAATTGCGCTGTACCAAATATTTCTTGTATAACTTCTTCTACAATAAAGATGAAATCAAAGTTTGCATTTACATTGATTGGTTTATTAATGAACTTAAGGCCACTCTGGACTGTGCGATTTACATAAGGAGAGCAGAAGAACTGGCAATTAAAGATTAACATGATTCAAGAGCCGATAAGATAATGGTTCTTTAAAAAAAAAAAAAAAAAAAAACATAATGAAATGTCAAATTACATGTGAAAATATTGCTGTAAAATAAAACTTCATAATCAATTTACTGAACAAAAACATTTGGCAAAGATTATTCCGATGTATAGGAAGACATTTATAGTCTTGCGAGACTTGACCAATAGCTTTTTAAAGAGGGGGCATTTCAAACAAAAGGCATGTTTTATCAGTTTTGCTTTCGTTTTTAATGCTCTGAGTCTCCCCTCCTTTTACTCCCCGCGCTGAGTCACTCCCCCTTCACAATGCTACACTATCAGCGTACATCTCGCTAATGAAACTTCTGCACGTCGCATCAGGTTTGTCAAGTTGTTGTGTAGTTTTGTATCATGTTTTCATACATTTATGGAGCAATGCCACGTTGGAGCATGGGTGAAGTAGGCAGAATCTTATAGCTAAAAAGAGTTTGAATAGGGCACAAGAGAAACATCGCTAAATTACTCAAACATGCATAGATGACATTTAAAACCTCTTCGGGCATGTTTTTGAAGGGAACAACTTCTAATATTGTAAAAAAGCTTTAAAAGAAATTGCATAATACCCCCTCTTTAATATAAGTTTTAGTAGGCAACACCAACTAATAAAGATGTACTGCCCGATTGAACATCTGGTATCTAAATTTGATCATCTTTTGGCGTGGTTTGAACAGAAAAACAACTTATCCATGACAGACTACACTGAAATAATGTCACGTAGGCATGCTTTGAATTTTCTTAATGTTTATCTAATCTTGTGTCTATTGTATTATACATTCCATACCCAACCAGACGAATGTTGAAATGCAGTCTAGGTTTTAAATGCAGTTTCCACCAGCACTACATGGCCCTGCTCTACTCTAACGATTCTTAAAGGTGCATTGTGTGACTTTTCCGGTGGAGGGTCCGTTAAATGCTTTTCTCCATGGAGATGTTGTTGCTTTGTCTGGAATGTTTCAAAGTATGGTGTTCTTAAATCTTTCTATCTTCATGGAAACCAAACCAGACCAAGTTACAGCATGGTAGATGAATCTGTGTATCGTTCGTTCATTCTTTTTTCAATATAAAACCAAAAATAAGAAAACGAAAAACAACTATTTTCTTCATTATGTCCCCTAAACCAAAATGAGAAAACGGATATCGATTTGTTTTTAAATGAATAATGGAAAAAAAACAGATAAAGGCCATTTCTCGTTTCCGTGATTTAAACTGCAATGCCAGACTTTTGCGCCGCATACGGACTGAACCAGGACTAAACCAGGTCCGACCAGACTGGAAACCAGACCGGGACTGAGACCAGGCCTTAGACTGGGACCAGACCAAGACTGAGCCCAAGACCAGGACCAGAACTAAGACCAGAACTAGACCAGCACTGAGAGCAGCATTGAGACCAGCACCAGATCAGGATTGAAAATGGTTTAGTCCTAGTTTAGTCCTGTTTTAGTCTTGGTTCAGTCTGTATGTGGCACAAAAGTCTGACATCGCAGTTTAAGTCACGGAAACGGGAAACGACATTATCCGTTTTTTCCATTATTAATTTAAAAACAAAATCAAAAACTGAAAAAGCGAATAGTTATCCTTTTTTCATGTTGGTTTTGGAGACAAATAATGAAGAAAACAGTTATTTTGGTTTTATATTGAAAAATTAATGAACGAATGATGCATGGATTTCAATGCAAGGTAGAGCTGTTTAATGTCACTGTGGAACATTCCAGGCAGAGCAATGACATATCTATAGAAAAAAGCATGTGACGGGACCCCCAACCGAAAAGTAGCACAGTGCACCTTTAATCAGTACCGACCTGGGTTCTAAAAGGTCAACAACATACTAAACTGTTCGGTAACTGGCTGAATCCGTAGTTACAATGAGATGATTGTCAAAAGAATCTAAAATTTGACCCCAAATGATACTAAAACTAGTATCGAAACTACTCATTTGAACAGGTATTGATACATGGTAATATAAAAGAAAGTATTATGATTTAATATTGAAAATCACCTTCTATTGTCTAAAGAAAGTGTTTTTAAGTATTATTGCCATATCAGAATCGGTACTGACCGTATATATATTTCTTAGTATGGACACTGCTGGATACTGATTTATTGTGAGCAGATTCCAAGGTTACAGTACCAGAAAAGTAACCAAAACATAACTGAAATCAGAGCTGGGCCATGTAGGGCTGGAGGAAACAGGGCTAAAGATATGACGTTGAAAACTTGATTTAAATATGAACTAAACAAAAAAAAAAAACAACAGCCAATCAAAACAGGACAGACAGTTACAGTCTAAATAATATACCATTTGACACAGCCATTGACATCAGAGCTTCTTTGGTTTACCCTCTATTCCCTGCTACTAGATACAAAACTATAGCAGAAAAAGTGTATGAAGATATGTCAGAATTATAATAGAAAACTAGAACTAGGCCTGTCACGATATTACTATGATAAATGTACAATATAGTTAAAGGTTCTATATTACACAAAATAGATTCTTGGGAGTTTTAAAGGGACAGTTCAGAATTTTGGACATTGGCTCACTAGGAAATGAGGTCCTGAGTGTTGGAGACATGTGTAGACACTTTTTTAAATATTCCATCCAGTCCTTGTATTTGCAGAGGTCACTAGTGCTAGGCTAGTGCATGTCAATGGCCATAGTTAGCCTGCCACTAAAAACAGTCTTACCCACTCCATAAAACACCCGAAGCAATTTTATTATTACGCCAGACTGCCAATGTAAATGTCTGTGTTGATAGAATAATGTTTGAAATAAAACTAACATTGCATCGCATGAATCGTCACATGTTGAGGGACTATTTTCTCATATCAGTCTGCCGCTGTCAAGCTTTCAATCAGGAAGTACAACTCGCTGCTGCTGCTCAGACATAAATCCTTCAAATACAACGTTGGTATTATTTCAATTATTCTACCAACACAGACATTCATATCGACAGTCTGGCATAATAACAGATTTGCTTTGGCTGCTTTGTGAAGTGGGTAAGACTGTTTTTAGTGGCAGGCTAACTATGGCCATTGACATGCACTATCCTAGCACCAGTGACCTCTGCAAATACAAGGACTGGATGGAATATTTTTAAAAAGTGTCTCCACACGTCTCCAACACTCTGGCTCACTAGGAAATGAGGACCTATGTCCAAAATTCTGAACTGTCCCTTTACACCATGTTAGAATGCTGTTACCTCATCAAAAACATACCTGAAGTTGTGTTTGGTTTCATTCACACATGTTTAAGTAAACTTGTAAACCTCATGTAGTGGTAGTTTACAAGTTAACAGCTACGTTTTGTTCAGTAGAGACTCGCAATTCCAGAGCTGAAATCATCCAAAATGATTCTAGTGAAGGCGTATGGAGTTTAAAAACACTGGAGCACTTCCTGTATGTTTTCAGTTTGAGAGAAGAACTCAAAGCCAAAATATGCAGGGTTTGTGTGTTAAACATGCGTGAATGAAACAAAAAAAACAAAAACAACTCCAGGTACGTTTGTGATGACGAAACTACATCAAGTAAACTAGTCCATTAGTAATTACAGTGACAGGCCTAAGTAGAACCGTCACTCACGCTTATGCTACATGCTATTGTGCAACAAACATGGGACTACACAAGGCAACTGAAGGCAACTGGTTTCCTGGCAAAGACTTAAAAAATAAAAATCCAAAAGAAAACCGAGACATGCTGCTTGCAAAGAGTATAGAAAAGTGATCACATAAATGCTACCGTCATGTACACTGCATTTTTTTTTTTACATTCTGATCTCATTTTTGTCAAATTTGTTCTGCTGATTGAAAATATACTGAAAATATGTAGACAAAAATAGATATATTTTAAACCAAACATGCATAAAGACATCCAGCTTGAAGGCCTTTCTAAACAAGACAATTGTTATACGCTATTGTGTGTAAATATATATACTATTTGTCTATATTCATGAAGCTGGTTAGGATATGTGGGCTGTCTTGTCAAAGTAACAGTACTAAAGTAATACAAAAATCACTCGTTTCAGTTCCTTCACTCAGTAAGCGTAGCAGCTCTTGCGAACTAATGAAAAAAATAATAAAAATAAAAATAATAAAAATAATAAAAGGTGCGTTTCTACAAAGGTGGTACAGCTTGGGTCAGGGCCATACAGGCAAATTTTCAAAACATCAACAAAAGTCCCTACATATTATAAGGTTAGTGCAGTATAGTGGTCAAAAATATGAGGTTAAATGAAGCCAACAGTGAGTGCAATAAAGCTGCGCTGTGTAACTTCTCTGGTAGTTACTTGTCACCATGGAGATATGGTATTAAACTTTTCAATCTCTGTAGAAACAAACAGGAAACACCGCCAGTCTAATTTACAGGTGAGATCTAAGAAGATTAAGAATGCATGTTTTTAAAAAGGTATTTTTGAGCAATAAAAACATCCATAATTTAATACCATATTGTGGACCATTACAGGCAAAACAATATAGCATCTCCATGGTAACATCACAGCAATCCTGAAAAGTTATGCAGTGCAGCTTTAAATGCATTAGTGCTTCAATATCTTTTACATAATGCACTTATTAACACTTCTTTTGATGAGATTTAGTGTTACAGCCAAATAGTATCGTTACATCAGTGGCTTTTTCCCCAACAGATATGTGTCAGAACAGAATTGTACACTTCTTTGGGACGTTTTTTTTAAATTGCCTCTAAAGACTGTGGACTCGTTTTGACAAGCCTACAGAAGATAAGATTAATCTCTCAGTTAACTACGCCTAGAGCACGAGCCTGTGATTCTTTGTTTTGTTGTATACTAGGGGTGTAACGATATCCAAGTCTCACAATACAATATTGTCACGATATGAACCTCACGGTACGATATTTATTGCAATATCATGGGAAATGATATGGTGGGGAGGCTCACGATTAGGGATGTAACAATATCCAAATCTCTCTGTACGATATTGTCACAATATACATCTTACAGTACGATATTTATTGCAATATTTTGTGGAAGCTTAACAGCTAAAACTGTTAATATGCTACATTTTCCTCTTAAAATGCCTTGACAAGACTTAGTCCAAAAATCTAAGACTTAAAAGTGCTTAGAACTGTTATTTCTTCATGTAGTCTGCACTGAAATGGAGCAAAGGATCATGGTCTATGTAGTTCCAATTTTTTTTTTTGCTATGGCTGCACCATATCTCTTAATTTAAGCAAAGAGACTTGTAATTCGATATATTGTCATGGTCCACGATATTCTCATAACTTTGACGATATAATATCACAATATTTCGGTTATTGTTTTACACGGAAGCTTGTATTGGACCCTTGGAATTCACTGAACTTCACTGCCCTGTACAGACATCACCCACACTGTACTGCTCTATAGAAACATAGCCACAAGTGGCACAGCACAACTCGTCATTAAAGGTGCATTGTGTAACTTTTCTAGCAGAGGGCCCTGTCAAATGCTTTTCTCCATGGACATTTTATTGGTTTGTCTGGAATGTTTCACAGTATGATATTAAACTTTTCTATTTTCATGGAGACTAAACCAGACAAAGTTACAGGTCAGATCTGTGGAGAGGGAAACCCGCTCACAGTGAGAAAGCCTGTTTTTCTCTGTATTTTTGAGCTATAAAACCACTTGTAATTGAATAAACGCAAGGTGGAGCTGTTTAATGTCACACTGTGGAACATTCCAGGCAGAACAATGACATATCCATAGAAACAGCAGGTGACGGACCAGACTCTCGACCAGAAAAGTTACACAATGCACCTTTAAAATCCAACATTCTAGAGAAGTCATGAAAAAAAAATATAGAAGTTCTTAAGGCATCACAAGGCTTAACCAGCGACTACAGCGCTGTGGATACATCAAACTCATAGAGTCCAACTTTAGGCCATTACTCTTTGCTTGGCTCCCACAGAAGAATTCACAGAAGCAAAGGGGGGCCGCTATGTAGAGCAGGTTCAAAATATCACCAAATGTGAAGTGCTACTTGGAGAGAAAGTCCTCTTATAGCACGGACAGCATTTTTCCAGTTCAGTTGAGTCTAGGGGGTGCTCTTCTTCTCTGTGCGCGCCTCTTTTAGTTTGGTCGGCGTGACAGCTGGGGGTTTCACTGGTTCTTTAGGGGCAGTAGTAGGCGGGGCTTTGGCTGGGGCGGGTGGTGGTTTGGGCAACTCCTTTAAACCCTGTTCAGTGCCGATGTTCACTGTAATGTTTGTGTAAAGTGGCAGGTACTCCTTAGACACGATCTGATATTCTGCAGTGTTCATGCCGTCCAGCTTCCACGTCTGACGGGTTTTGGCCAGCATGTTGAACCTAAAAATAAAAAAGTGTAAATAAGTGATTTAAGTGATAGTGATTTCATTTGATATATAAAGAAACCAATCATGCATATCAGTTTGAATTATTTAAATATGTTAAGTCAACCTACCTGGACCTACCTCTACCTGGAATGTTCCACAGTATGACATTAAACTGTTACCCCTACATTTATTCTATTTAAGGTGGTTTGCCTGCTTAAAAATACCTACAAAAACCGACATTCTGACTGTGAGAGGGGCTGCCTCTCCACATATCTGACCTATACGTTTGTGTGATTTGGTCTCCATGAAGATAGAAATGTTACTGTCATACTGTGAAACATTTCAGACGAAGCAATAACATCCTCATGGCGAAAAGCATTTGATGGACCAGAAAAGTTACAAAATGCACCTTAAGACAAATTTGTAGGTATCTTTACTTGAGTACATTTTACAGTGTGTACTTTTCACTTTTGCTTCACACCTCAGCGGCTGGCAGGTAAGCTATGTACATTTATGTATGTGGTCTATGGTGCAGCTAAAGTTACTTCAGTGTTGTGTTGTATTGTGTATACATACATATATACAAACTTGTCCCTCACAACATAAACTAGAAAAGCACTCAGAGAGCGCAGACCTCCGCCAAGGACTACCCCCATTTTTTATATAAATTGCGATAAAATCAGTTTTCTGGATCAGATCCAGATCAGCCTTTGGAATATGAAAGAGGATCCCATTGTCCATCCCTGAGTCAAATTTCATGGGGTTTGGTCAATAATTAACCGAGATATTGAGAAACAAAATTTTTGGCCCCATTTACCACAATGTTAACTAAAATTTCAAAGTGATCCAGAATCCAGGATTTCTTCTGGATCACCCCCAAAATGAAATCAGTTCTTCCTTTTCACATTTCCAACAAATCCTGAAAATTTCATCAAAATCGGTCCATAACTTTTTGAGTTATGTTGCTAACAGACAAACAAACAAACAAACAAACAGACAAACGCCGACAAAAACATAACCTCCTTGGCGGAGGTAATAAGACTGATGAAATGCAACTTTAAATCATTAACTGCCATTTTTACCTCTTGGGATTGACATCGTTGCCTTCATCAAGTTTGTGTTTAATCATTTTGTAGCGACCGACTTTGACCGATGGCCGTGTGATGTACATTCCCGCTAAAGAGACTCTGAGAAAAAAAAACAAAAAAACACATGAACACACAATTTGAATATAGAATTGACTCAATTAAAGACATATAAAACAACATTTTTAATATGTTTGCAGTTAAAAAAATCAAACAAACTGATAATTAGATCTGTAAAGGCCTGGAGCAGTAGTCAGTAATGTTACATAGTGCAGCTTTAACTCTGTCTAGTCTACTCAAACAATTTAAGTGTAAAAAGTCAAACTACTCTAAATTCAAATCATACAGTTATTCTAATTTTAAATTTATATTTTTTTACATCCAGGTTTGTAATGGCAATTTGTATCAGAACACATTTTGGATTGTCCATTAAAATAAAAATAATAATAATAATAATAAAGAAAGAAATCGTAGTCAGTAATTTTGGGGTCTAAGTGTGTTGTACCATTTTTCTTTTCGAGAATATGTGGAAATTAAACTGGCTAGAGGGAGCAGTGGTTCTTTGACTGTACAGAGAGCTACATACAGAGAGCACAAACAGGTGTATGTCGCCCTCTACTGAAAAACAGTGGGAAGTAAAGCATAAATTTAAAATAGCTGCACCTAGAATAGAAATGTGTGTGCTTGTGATGCTTTGTGACAGAACAGGGACAGAAGCATTTCCCGGTTCAAAACACAGAACATTGTAGGTTGTTTTTCTTTCCCATATTGTTCGATCTCTATTTTCAATTTGATTCTTTGACAACAGACAGACACAAAGAAAATGGTGATGGCTTGTAGTTTCTGAATTTTCAATGTAAAATAACAGAATGCAGATGGCCCTTTTCTTTATTACAGTTACCTGATTCCAATATCATCGTCCTCTCCTCCCCAGCCCCAGTAGTTGTTTGGAAAGCCGTTCATTTTTAGGTAGTGGTCTGGGGACAAAGCTGATACGCCCCCGAAGTACATCTTATAAGGAAGCCTAAAACACACACAATTCGGACATTTAAACAATATGGACTACATTCAGAGATATAGGACTACATTCAGATCACATTCCATACAACTGTGTAACAACTCACCCTTATGTAAGAGATAACCCTATGTCCTGTCAGTCATTATATCATCTTTGCACCGACCTCTTGAATATAGTCAAGATACAGAAATATATTAATACAAATTTATTATATAATTAATTGACACCAGTCTCTCACCAGAATTTATTATTACGATTTATTTTATTTTTGCTCTTATTATTATATATTGTGATGTGTGAGCAACTTTGTACAAATAATTTTCCTTGTGGCTAAAAAGTTTCTAAGTCTAAGAAATAACTAGGTCTGTCACAATAACTAAAAGATTCTAAAATGTGATATATTGCTACAGAAAATATGATAAACAATAATAATGAAACCAATTTATGCCAGAGACACAACTTTAAAAGCTGCAAAATTATCCTCAAGAAAACTATTTTAAATGCACAATTAAAAAAAAAAAAATCTTATACTAGTCTATGTGGTCTTCTACTTGAAGATCATTCTAAAGCTATTCAGGAAAGATTCTTTTGGGTCCTGTGAATGTGACTTGTTTCAATACTAGTTTTCATATCGATGCGCATCTAGTTTTTGATATTTTTCTGTACTACAATAGGGTTATCAACTAGTGTAAAGAAAAAGTACCCATGATAAATACTGAGCCCCCAAAATGTAAGTGTCATGAATCAATTATTGAACAACAAGTCAATACAGTATTTACCATGACATGCTTACAAATACACAAAAAATATCCATACTTGTATCCAAACTTGTCCATGGCGATGGCGGCGTGCTTGGGATTGGCGTCACAGACGTAGGTATTGCGATCGTCTTCAGGTATGAGGTCAACGTCGTGGAAAAAGAGGCAGTCCCAGTCCTCCTCCTTCATGGCCTCTCGGAAGCCCACATTCATCAGCTTAGCCCGGTTAAAAGTGTAGTTCCCCGCCTGAAGAATTACACACAAACAACACGTGAGGAGGAGGAGGAGGCCCCATTGGGAACAATTAAAAAAGCACTGAACACAGCAAAGCAAAGCAAAACACAGTGTCTGGAGATGTTATCGCTGGTAGTTATAGTGGTGTAGTTATTAGCGAGGAGGAAAGGTGGAGGTGACGTGGAAGCATAAATAAACTGGAGCTTTGTGAAATGGCACCATTTTGTCCTAAAAAGTCACACAGCCCTTATTCTACTCGATGTTTGGGTTATGTAGGTGTATTACTGATCAATTATCTTGCTACTTTAAGGAAATATAGTCAGTTTTTTAGGTAAATGCTATGTTTTATATTTAGAAACTGTGTGAGAAAAAAAATTAGGAACATGTCTCTACCCTACGCTATTGGTGTTTAAAAAAAAAAGGTATTACAATCACAACTGAACTTGGGTTACGAGTGTCTTAACCTATAAACAGACACAAGTTTAGAACAAGTAGAACATGCCATGTCTCATGTGAAAGCTCAGAACCTCCAGAATTCACTCAAAGGCTGCACTTTTACTGATTCATGTTTGGCTGCAGGTGCTAGGGTTTAGGTAGTGACCATTCAGATCAGAGAGGGGCCGCTTAAGTTTAAACCAACTGGCAACCCAAATGAGAGGCTTGTATGAGGCTCCTTCTGCTTTCTGATTGGAGAACCAAAACACCAAGTTATACCATAAATAAATGGGACGAAGTGTCCAGTGTTTTTGTAATTAAGAATAACGCTTCACTTCAATATCACTGCTTGGCATTTTCTTAAAAGGTCACCAGAGGGCGCTACTCTATCATTTACACACTACAGTTTAGTAATTTTCAAACTTCTAAACTAAGGTGGTCTTGTTAAAATAAAATAAAAGAAGAATTTTGAAAGAATTCATGCTCATAACATCATAATTATAATACCATGACTAATACCACACTTTCCCCCCACTTTCTGAGCAAAAGCTCAAACCTGAAGAGACTAGACAGATTCTGGTTCCCGTTTGGTGGTTCCAGGTTCCAAGTGCATATCACAGAATCACACAATACTAATTGCTTTAAAACATAATTATGTTTATGACTTTGTCAAACTAGTGAAAAGCTGTGAATATTTTTAGCAATTTCGGTGAAGTTTAATTTTGGTGACACAGGCCCAGATGGAGAAGTCATCAAATCCACAAATGTTGAACTTTCACATTATTTGTTTGACGATGGCTTCACAACTTCCATTTTAATCTTAAGTTAAGTTATTTTAACTTGACAACAATCACATAATTGGGGTTAAAAGGCACCATGTCCTACTTAAAACTTTATTTATACTGATAACAAAAACCTTGAACTGTCAGTTTAGTTTCATGTGGACACAGGGACAACTACAGGGACATTAACCGTGAATGTACGCTATCTCAAAAATCAGCGAAAATCTCTATTTGTCGTTTTTAGTAATACTGTAATAGTATTTCTAATAGTATTGTGATATTATTTTATTGCAGACTAGGTAAATTCAAATCTTTGTCATCAAAAATGGTCAAAAGCAGAGTGTGTGCTGCATCCGGAGGTCACTGCAATTTCAAGTACAATGTGACATCACGCAGGTCTGCCCTTATTAAAGTCAGGTGTTTCTGGTTACAAACTCCTGGCAGAGTTTGGGTACAGGTATCCACACTTCAAACGCACTTCAAACACACTGTTCCTCATATGTCCGGTCCTGCCCCTCCTTCCCTCTCACTCTCTATAGTCCTCCAGGTACTGCCCAGTTTAGAAGCTCTATTTGAAATGTGGTTGTGGGCAAAGTATACGTGTTTAGTCCCACCAGCAAATTCTACCATAGGATTCTGACTTATCCAACAGTTTTTTTTTTCTTATTTTTTTGTTGAAAATCAAACTCCTAAACAGAACCATGAACATTTTTATTGATCACAAGCTCCTGAAAATGTTTATACCATTTATATAAATTTTATATTTTCTCTTGAGTTTTCAGACAATCTAAAAACGTTTTTGTCTGCAGTTTGTTTGCTAATGTGTGCACTCTGTCACCATAGTAACTGCTGAACATTCCGCCAATAGAGACATATGTGGAACACCCCCAGCATGATGTAACCACAAAGTATCAACATGGACTATAGAAAGTAGTGATGTTACATGAACTTAACCCATTATAAAAACCCTGTCATTATGCACTGACCAATACATTAAAGGTGCACTGTGTAACTTTTTGGTTCGGGGTCCGTCACCTACTTGTTTCTATGGATACGCCATTGTTCTGCTTGGAATATTCCACAGTATGGCATTAAGCAGTTTGACCTTACATTTATTCAATTACAGGGGGTTTATAGCTCAAAGAAACTTCTGACTGTGAGCGAGATTGCCTCTCCACAGGTCTGACCTGTAACTTCATCTGGTTTGGTCTCCATGAAGATAGAAGGGTTTAATGCCATAACGCGAAACATTCCATTGCGCTTTAAATGCCTTGAAAGTGGAAAAGCGTTATATAAAAATGTGACCATTCCAGACAAAACAACAGCAGCTCCATGAAGAAAAGCTTTTGACGGATCTTTTGTCAGAAAAGTTACACAATGTGGCTTTAAGTTGGAACAGTTAATGTTTTTTTGTGTGAAAAGGGGACAGATATTACAAGCCTATAGTAAGGTTTCTGCTCCTTTTCACTCACATTGATGTACAAAATAACCCTAACCGTAACCTTAATAAATTAAACAAATAAAATAAAAAAATAATAATGAAATAATAAAATAATGACCTGGTGGATGACGTAGATGCCGTAGGTGAGTTGCTGCCTTTGGAGGAAGGGGTGCAGGTAGTAGAGCAGGAACTTGAGATGGTGCTCCCGGTTTCTGTGGGGGATGATGATGGCTGTGCGGTGCCTGGACTCGCAGTCTGGTGGCCTGTAGCGTCCTCCTCTCACCACCAGGGGGTTCTTCCTCTGCACCTCCGCCAATCTCAGGCCTGATGGGAAGCTCACATGGATGGGCCCGGCTGCCATCGGGAACAGGAGAGGTAAGGTGGTAAGCAAATAGTTTGGTTATGGAAAAAAAATTATAGAATTTGAATAAGACATTAGTTTAAAAGAGCAATGCTGGTTAGATTCAGCCATTTCAGATTCACAGATTTTTTTATAAAGGTTTTTGGGCGATACATAGGCTTAACTTTAATAAGATAATAACAATATAATAGTTCTGATCACACATAATTCACAGTTTGTTTAAAAAGAAAAGTCTGATGCACTGAGGACAGAGTAAAGATGAAAATCGAAAACAGAAATTAGGTTACAAACTGATATATCCCACTTTTTTTTTTTTTTTATTAACACAAAAGTGAAAAGTTAAGATAAAGTAGAGATCACATATCAATAAATCTAAAATTATTAAAATGTTTTACTTTTATTTTTGAAATTATTAATTCTACATTGATCGCTGTCATGTCAGGTCATTTTAAGAAACGCGGTCAGTATCTATTCACCATTGTTCATCTTCCAAAAGAAAACAAGTAGCTGCAATGAATCAAAAGAGGGGGAAGCTCTGTGAAAACTGAGAAATTATACTGTGAATTTTAAAAAAGGTGCATTGGATAACTTTTCTGGTCTGGTGGAGGGTCTGCTACCTGCTTGTCTTCATAATTTGTATTTTATTGCTTTTCCTGAATGTTCTACATTGTTCAACTTTTCTATCTCCAAACAAGAACGCCATCAGGCCAAGTTATGGGTCAAATCTACTCTTTACCAATGTAATTCGAGCATAAAAACACACGCAATTCAATAAATATTTGATACATTTAATGCCATAATGTGGAACATCCCTGGAAACCCTAACGCAGGCACAGTAATAACAGGCAGTAGTGTAACCTCGATCAGAAAAGTTGCACAGTGCACCTTTAAGTAGCAAAGCGAAATGTTGTAAATGGGAAAAGCTCAAACAATGATCACATCCTAATGCAAATGCAGTCTCTTAACAGTGGCTGAACTTTACATACAGAGGTCAAACGGATTACAGGGCTTCAGATAGTGGCGCATTTAAGCAATCACTCAATAGCATTATTAATCGTAATTTTCTGATCTATGTCATTTCCTCGTCACAAACATACCAGGAGTTGTGTTTCGTTTCATTTGCATATGTTTAATGCAAACACCCTGCATATTCTTAGGCTGACTTGGAGCGGTTCCTCCTTTTGATGTTATGTTGTGATACAGGAAGTGCTCCATTGTCTCTATAAACTCCATATACATCAACTAAGCTCATTTGTATAATTTCAGCTCTGGAATTACCGATCTCTACTAAACTAAAGGTAAAAAGGTAGCTGCTAACTTGAAAACTACCTCTACATGACATTGCAAGGTGGAATAGAGCATTTTAAGCTTTGGAAACGTGGAAATGAAATATGTATTTGATGAGACAACTCCATTATAACATGGCTTTAAGCTCACAAGAGTTGTAATACAGGATTGGCCATAATAAAGAAATTTTAATACTGTGTGAAAAATCCCTCAGTTGTCCAGGTAGAATCTAGCCAGGCTGGCACCACCTAGTGCCTCCAATCGATTTCATTTCTCTTCAGTGACTAGGTCAGGAATCAGAATACACTAGACCAGGCATGTCCAAACTATGGCCCAGGGGCCAAATGTGGCCCTCAGACAAATTTTTCTTGGCCCTCAGGCTTCCAGGTGAATTGGTCCAAATGACCTTGCATCAATTAAAAAATATTTTTTCACTGCAAGTTTTTGCAGAATCTACCTTGATAAAGCTTATATTTCATATTTAGTGTGTGGTTTTAAGGATTTCAGCATGAATAAAGACTGATGGTTCATACTAACATGTTAGGCATGCACATATTTCAATTATTCAATCAACTGAGCACCAGTCTACGGCCCTCGATCAGCCCCCTGCTGTGTTTAGAGATGTGGCCCTTGATGCAAAAAGTTTGGACACCCCTGCACTAGACTGTTTGCAAAAACCCCAGAAGTGCGAGTTCGGGCACCAGCCAATCATCAAAGAGCCATATATTCTGTGTTGGCAACAATTCCCGAGACCGAGGATTTAAAGCCAGATCAAAGAGAATGTTTGGTGAATTTTATCAAGGGGAAAGATGTTATTGCCCTTCTTTCTACGGGATTTGGGAAAAAGCTTAATATACCAGCTAGCCCCATTAGCGGTGCATTACATACGTCACAACCAAATAGCAGCGATTGGTTAAATAAAAAAGTACCCGCCTACAGTGGAGTGAACAAATTCTAATGCAAAGAGCGATCGGGCGACTGCTGCGCGGAGCTCTTTTCTGGTCCTTTCGCTTGTGGTCACCCGACGGTCTGCGTGGGTGCACGTTAGTCCCGGGTTAGTCCTGGGTTATCACAGGCACGGTAACGGGTGGAATGTTAACAGGTTCGGGTGGGTGCGGGTCTCCAAAAATTGATCTGTGCAGGACTCTGGGTCAGGTCACATTGGTCACATGCGGTGAACGCCGTGGCCCAACATGCACCGCGGTGGGCCTCTTAGTACCGCAGTGATTCATTTTTGCGGTTATTGCGACAGCCCTACATCCAAGCAGCTTCCTCAGTTCTGGTCAAAATGCTGGTGGACACTTCCTTATATCTGCCTGCTTCCTTATATATCTGCTTGCATAGACACCATCTATCTCCTATTTACATCTATTGTTTTCCTGTTTGTTTTGATTTAGGTTTGTGGCTGGAGTTGTTGTAACCAGGTCAGGTCCAGAGGTGTGAAAGCACCCATTATGGACCTGAACGATTCTGCTAATAAAACCCCACACTCAGTGCAGTTCAATAGGCCTAACTAACTGTAAACAGGTAGGGGTGTTGGTTTCAAAGTATCCCTGCAGACAGATATAAGGAAGTATCCACCAGCATTTTGACCAGAACTGAAGAAGCAGCTTGGATGAACTGTGAAATGTATTCGACCAAATAAACATTTGTATAGTTGACAAATTGAATTTCTCCTTTTGCCATGAACTTTAATACTGTTACTGAAACTAAAACACAACATTTCAACATTCTGGAGATTTTCAATTATAGTTCAATATTTGCTTATATACTTATATACTGCTTAAGATAACAGTTTACAGTTATTTACTATAACAAATGATTAACAGAGAACTAGTTCTAGCCTTGACGAGAGTTCACAATAAAGTCATTTGTAAACAACATGATAAAGTGATTTAAAATTGAGTCTTGCAGATTTCTGGTTTGTTGATGTTTTAGGGCAAGTTTATTTATATATCTTTATTTTTATGTGTGTATATTTTATATAAATCAAGACGCAATAATTGTTTTATTGATACATTTTAGCATAGATGACACTTTATTCCCATCTAGACACTACTATCTTCATTGGCGAAAGCTTTGTGCCTCATAATTTGTGTCCCCACCTTGTTATATGTGAATCTAATTATTTAAAATCACAAACATTGTCTCCATTAGTGTTGACAAAAAGACATTATCAAATGAATCAAGTGTGAAATTTTTGTATTTATGACAATTCTCCTGGACGTGTTTAAAATATTAACTTTGAGCATTCTATTATTAAAACTAAAATGTACATGTAAATTGCAATACTTGTCGTACTAAAATCAAAATTAAAGATTTTTCCACCTGCATAGAGACAAGTGAAGGAGGTCCACTAAAATTTGTCTGCAGTGCACGTTTAAAGACATAAAAATTACTTACCTATAAGGGGAGACTTGAGCGGGCAGTAGGGCATGTCATCTCTGTGTGGGTGGGGTTTGGGCAGGTGCGTGAGGTTGGCGTAGACGTCTCCTCCCAGGACCAGCCCCGAATTATTGCGACCATGCTCGGGTTTACGGAAGATTCGGATAAAGTAATTCACCCGTTTTTGGTATCCCTCGCGAGACAGCAGCGCCATCACAACCAACTGAATGCCCAAGAACATGAAGAAGTAGCGCCATTTTGACTGGAAGCTTAACATGGTGGCGCAGAATGGCCGCTCCTCCAACTTTTCTTAATTAACTTAATTGATTAGACATGCAACGAAAAGGCACTTGTAGTCTGCTATGTCCGTCCCGCATTATGCAGTTTCACCCGGCAAAGGATCCATGCATTTGTATTGACTTCATTGTCTTTCCATGTAAAGCAACGGTTGCTTTGTGAGCTTTATGTTGCCTTCTGCCCTCCGCCATGTTTTCTCTTGGGGGAGGGATCTGCTGCTACGTCAACAGTCGCCATGACAAAAGGTAAACATATGCGCAGAGGGCTGGGAGTGAGCGAGTTGGGGGCAGGGGTGATCAGACTGAAAAAGGGGTTTTGAAACTACTGTCGCATCATATTATTGCAGTCAGCGGAGGAGCAGGTTGGAGTAGTTCTTCCATAGCTCTAGTAGTAAGAATGTCTGGTATGATGAGCCTGGAAAACACAAAGAAAAAAAAGGGGGTGGTTACATTGACGGAAATCTGTTGACTCAGCGAATCTTCCACAAACAATGAGCGATTGTGTGCAAATTAACAGTTTGTTTACAGGGTACTTAACGTGGCAGTTGGATAGTCTCTCACTAATCAGGGCCCGGGGCAGATGACACTGGCTGCTTCAAAGTATGCTAATAGGAAGCAATTAAAAAAAAAAAAAAAAAAAAAAAAAAAAGACTAATAACTTCCTGGAAACAGAGCCAACGAAATCACTCTGAGATACGTCATACAACTGTACAACAACCAAGTCATGTCAGTTATTTGCACTTTGCGCCGTTTCTCCTTACAACCTCTTGTATAAAACTGAGAGATATTTGTACTACTACTATGTATTTCTATATTTAATTTTTACATGTATATAAATTTATATAATTATGCCTTATTTATTTGATACCAGTCTCTTGTTATTTTTGCTACTTATTTTGAATGTATTATTACCATTTATATCTTTGCTCTGTGTCATTATAATATATTGTGCTGTGTGAGCTGCTCTGTCCAAATCAAAAAAGTTTGTCTAAGTCAAAGATGTGTAACTTAAAGGTGCATTGTGTAACTTTTCTGGTGGAGGGTCTGTCAAATACTTTTCTCCATGGAGATGTTATTTCTTTGTCTGGAATTTTTCACAGTATTGTATTAAACCTTTCAATCTTCATGGAGACCAAACCAGTCTAAATGACATGTCAGATCTGTGGAATGGCAACACTGACAATGCCCGTTTTTCTAGGTATTTATGAGCTAGCTTCTCCCTAGTGTGTCGTCATCAGCATGTTTAAGATCTCTCCACTTCTAGAAATGTACCATATTTTTCAACTTTTCTTCTTAAATGTCTTCTTGGTTGGTGTAAAACTAGAATTTATATTTACAATAGGTATAATGCCAAAAAATAAAATAAAAATAATGATAAAGAGAATCATAACAATCTGTCATACACACTTTGACACCACTGCTGTACTGTGGTGAGCTCTGGTGTCAAATGGTCTCTTAGTCATAAATCAATTAGTTCTTGTTAAAAGTAGCCAGCCTCAGACGGTTAATCCTAATCCTGATTTACTGTGAGCGGAGGAGGAGTGCTGAGAGACGCCTGCAGAGAATTACTACCACTACTACCACCACCAATAATACTACTACTACAACTAGGGGTGTACAAAAATATCGAAATAGCCATAAATTGTATCTTTTAATGTGTTGATACAGTACAGACATTGTGGGCTGCTGTATTGATATATCGCCAAGAGTATTTTTTGGTATATTTTACTACACATTTTATTTTACTATTCAATACACGATTCACGATACGATATAATCACAATATGGCAATACATACAATAATCAATACATTGCACATGATATGCTGTTTTTTAAGATCCAAAATACATTTTAGCAACAATATTTCTTTGTTAAAGGACTGTTTGTGCAAAGTTAACATGAAATAGGTCAATTTCAAAAGGGCCCATATTATCATTTCCTCAACACAAACACACCTGGAGTTGTGTTTTGTTTCGTTCACATGTGTTTAATGCACAAACCCATATTTAGGCTGAGTTCTTCTCTCAAACGGAATACACTCTTCCACCTTGTGATGTCATGTGTAATACAGGAAGTGCTCCACTGTGTTTTTAAACTCCACACACCTTCACTAGAATCATTAAGATCACTTCAGCCCTGGAATTCTTGCAGTCTTTTGAAGTCTTTTCTGAACCAAAGTTAAAAGGTAGGTGTTAACTTGAAAACTGCCGTTACATGACATCACAAGGTGGAACAGAGCATTTAAAGCTTTGGAAATGTAGACAGACAAATACAACATAACTCAAACATGTGTGAATGAAACAAAAAAAATGTCAATTTGATGTTTTTTTACATTAAAACACGGCATACAGGAGTCACAGGAGTTAATTTGGCATAATACAGGACCTTTAATCATCAAAACAGTGAATATATTAGGTCTACTGCATAAACAAAATCCTTCTACTAAATAAGCAACAACATTGTAGTGCAATCACTCAAAAAAACAAGCTAAAATGATTAAAATGATACCAAAAAAATACTCTTGGCAATATCAATACAGCAGTCCATGATACAGATACTGTCTCACGATATATTGATATTTGAATATTTTTGCATACCCCCACGCAGTACTACTAATGCTAAAGCTGTTAGTACAAGTGTTGCTGCGCTTTGAGGGTATGCTAAGGGAGCTGAGCAACATTCAAATTGCAGCAGTATATACTAGTCTGTGCTGTTTTACAGCGTCTGATGCTTGAACCTAAACTAACCTGAAAGCAAATTAGAAGGACGAGACTGAACCATGTGAGCAGTGTGAAAGCAAACACTAAAAACAAGCTTTTTCCGTGTTTGTTTAGCTGCTAACAACTGCTAACACTAGACCTGTCACAATAAATACTAGATTGACTTGAAAGGTTGTTGTTTTTTTTCTATATGATAAGATTTAAGACGTAAAAGGTTGAATTATGAACTGTGAACTTTCAAGTGTTTCTTTCTGCTGTTTATTTATTGCAGCTCATGTTCGGGTTTTTTTTTTTTTTTTTTTTTTTTTAAGTCCGCTCATGACTGGCCTAATCAACACGACTTGAGTCTTAGTAGGGCTATGCTTGTAATCCAAGATTATTTAAGACACTTTAATTATCAATTATCAATATTAGACGCCATCTTAATCAAGAGGTTTACAGCCAATCCATGTAATTTGAAGCAGCGTTTGAGCTTTTGATATTTGAAGATTTTTGTGTTAAATGTAGGAATTGTACAGTTTTAAGTCAACATAAATAAAAAAAAAATCGTAATTGTAAAGTAACATTATTACAGGGCAGTTATTTTATGCTTTTCTCAGGACAAAGTCTCTAAGATTAAGTTAATTATTCATCTCCTCAGTACAGTCTACAGATCTGTGCTTTACAACCAGTTTGCGGCTCAGTGAGCATAAACCAGCATTAAAACATTCATACAGCCCAGATGGGTGAAGCCTCTTGCCCATAGATACAACATCGTCACTCCACAGTCAGTCTCACCAGTCAAGTCATAGTCTCTTTTACAAGAACATGAGGGGTTTAAGAGTTTCATCCATGCTTTGAAGGCATCTGCACCCATGACCACCTTCAAGAGGATCATGGATAGTGTCCTCAAGGAATACTGGCACCTCTGGTAATTTTGAGATCTGCGTAATTTGATTCCTATATTATTTGTTTTTAATACCGTTTTAATATTTGTTCTTTAAAAGCAGCTTTGAGTGTCCTGCATTATTATTATTATAATATTGCTGTGTTATTGCTTTTCCTGGAATGTTCCATGGTATCCAGATATTGGTATCCATATAGCATTTATTCATTATGGGTGTTTTTACTGCCCAAAAATACACTCTCTATACATATACACTCTGTAAATAAGGTTGCCGTTCCACAGATCTGACCTGTAATGTAGGTCAGATCTGATCTACATTACAGGTCAGTAGTAGTAGTCAGCAGTAGTAGTAGTCGAGTAGTAGTAGTCTAGTAGTGGTCAAGTAGTAGTAGCAGTAGGGTAGCAGTAGTCTAGTAGTCGTCAGGTAGTAGTAGTAGTTCACCTTGAGATAGATAGGTTTAATCTATACAGTACAACATTCTAGACAAAGCGATAGCATCTCCATGGAGACATGCAGGTGATGGACCCTCCACTAGAAAAGTTGCGCAATGCATCATGAAACTCAATATAGGCCAAACAGCAGCTGCAAAAAAAAAAAAAGCCCACATTAAAACTGTGCTGCTATGCCTTTTTAACTAGAATAACAGAAAATTCAAGTTACATGCAAAATCAATGCAAATCTAAATCTTTCAGGCTAAAGTCAACCAAGTAATTAGATGTAGATTTTCCTGATGTACCGGAAAATGCATTAGGGACGTGAAAATTGTTTTTAAAAGGTCCTATATTACACAAAATTGATTAGTGAGCTTTAAGCCGTGTTCTAATGTTATTACCTTCTCAAAAACATACATGGAGTTGTTTTGTTTCATTTGCACATATTTGAGTAACCCTTCAGCTCAAATTGCTTGGGATGTCATGCAGTGGTAGTTTTTAAGTTAACAGCTATATTTTACCCTTTGTTCAGTAGACATTGGATAATTTCAGCTCTGGAATTTCCAAATGATTCTAGTGAAGGTGTAGAGAGTTTAAATACACAGTGGAGCATTTCCTGTATTACTACTTAACATCACAAGGTCAAAAAGCATGTTTCAGTTTTAGAAGAATGCAGCCTAAATATGCGAGATTTGTGTGTTAAACATGTGTGAATGAAACAAAACACAACTCCAAGTATGCTTGTGATGAGGATTATATTAAATCAGAAAACAATGTAATATGGGCCCTTTAAATGGTTTAGTGTGTGTAACTGTGTGTGTGTTTCCTAAAAAAATCTGCCAATATAAACATGTAAACAAAGCCCTTCTGAGACAGCCTTTATGTTGGATGACCTGTACTAAGCCTGATAAGACCGAAAAAGCCTGAATAAAGGCCCATTTAAAAACACAGAGCAGAACCGCTACACCCGTGTGTACGCAAGATTTGGCGGAGAAATTTGTGTGGCTGAACACAACACAAACCAATGATGTAACAAACTGCTTTTTATATTCCAGTAAAATACATTTTGTTATCGTATTTTAAAAAGTAAAAAGTTAATTTGTGGGCCTTGCTATGGATTTTAAACAAGATATTGGTATCGGCAAATATCAGATATCTGTATCGGCGCAAAAAAATAAATAAAATATCCATAGTGGCCAATACTTAGGTCTTGTTATCCTTAAATATTATCCTGAAAAGTAGTTTCATTTCCAAAAGAAACCATTTCATTGCATCATTTATTCATGTGGTTTAAAGCATAATCTGTATATATAAATGGACATAGATAACATCTAACCCTAGCCGCCGCTTTCCAAATAGGAAGTTCACATGCGGGCT